GCCCAATCGACCTTTTTTTCCCAAGAAAACCTAAAACAAAATTAAAACCAATTTTATCAGTATTAAACAAAAAATGCATTAAGTTTTCTTTTAATATATTATTTGTTTATCAATAACAGTTTTCTTTTCTTTTTGTATACAGCAACACCAAATCCTCTAATGGGACCATTATATTTTTTCCTTTGAACACAACAATCCCTTTTCATTTTTTTCAAAAATAAATTAGTAAGTTAATCACTTAATAAAAAATAATAATTTTTCCTTAAGACAAAGAAATATTGCAAATACCAAATGGGCTGGTAACGATCTTAATAGGCCTATAATTTGATGATCACACCCCCTATTCCTTGTTTAACACCACATCTGCTTAAATGGGCTTAACTCTTTTTAATTTTAACCTCTCTTTTTTTAATAACAACTATTTAATAATTAAACTTAGCAGTTACTCGAATAATTTTATTTTCGAATCGCATGGGCCATTGGCCAACATGCCTCACGAACGTTCACAGATACACGAGTCTTTCTGATTTAGAAAGCCCTGCTCTCCTTGATTTAAAATACACCCCTAGTCGACTTGAATTTAAGAATGGGCCATCAGATATTATTGTACCACCTTTACTTAAATATTTCTTCTATTTAAATCTTAAAAAATAAAATCGTCGAGGTAGGACAAATTTGGGTTACGACAAGTTTTTTACTCAATTGCTCAAGTACATGTCTGAAGCATAGTGATCAAAATACTCTAAGGTGACTTACATTTGGATTATGTCATGTCCAAGCCTCATAAAACGTATTCTCGACCATCTTCTTCGTTGGATATTTGTTCAGAGTGTATATTATTGTCAAAGCTACTTCACCCCAAAATCTCTTTGGCATATCACCACCACCTTCAGTTCATAGTTTATTTAACTTGCATCCATTTTGTTTCTCTACATGTAATTTAAATTTCTTGAACTGTGTGAATACCCCACTCTTCTTTTTGATAAGATAAATCCATATGCATCTAGTGAATTCATCTATGAAAGTTGGGAAATAATAGTTACCTCCATTCAACTTTACTTCAAAAGGTCCACACACATCAGAGTGAATTAGCTCTAACTTTTTCTTTGACCTCATTGGCAAGTCATGTTTGAATACTTTTCTATCCAGCTTTGCTTTGCAACATTCCTCACCCACCTTACTTGGTTCCTTCACCTGAGGTAAGCCATACACCATCTTCTTCTAGTTGAGAACACCTAAACTTCTGAAGTTTATGTGTTCATACATATGATGCCATAACATATACTTGTCTTTTTCTGTAGTTGACGCAAGACATTTGTGATCAACCATGTTGATTTCTACTTTGAAGGTCTTGTTGTCTGCCAATGGTGCTTTCAGACTTAATCTTCCATCATTATCATACACCTTCATCTGATTCTTTTCTAGCATCATGTTTTACCCTTTGGCGAGTAATTGACCTATACTTATCAAGTTACTTGTCATTGGAGGTACATACAATATATTAGTGATACTGGATTTTTGACCATCCTTTCTAACCATATTTATGTTTCCTTTTCCACCTGATGTGACGTGCCTTCCATCTGTAAACTTGATCACTTTCTTGACTGATTCATCTAACTAGGTGAACCAAGTTTTATTTCCAGTCATGTGGTTGTTGCATCCTAAATTTAGGTACCACATGTTGGTTTGCTCATTGCTCGACTGGGTATTTTCTATTAGTAGCACATCATTATAGTCACTATGTCAAGCATGGGCATACTACATTTCATCGTTATCTTTTGCTCTTACTTTTTTCTTTCTTCGACAGTCTTGAGCATAATGGCCAAATCCTTGACAGTTGTAACATTGCACCTCCTTCGCGTCAACTTTCTTCCCCGAACACTTGTTGCCCATGTCATTCCTAGTTGAATCAGAGTGATTCTTTGAATTCTCGCTTAATTTCTCATCATTAACAAGATTATTTCTCTGTTTCGCTTTCTCTTTTCCATACTTCTTGATGAATTTTTCTTGTAGTGCTTGTTCAACTAGATTCTCCCTTTTTGAGTTCCCCCGCTTCAGTCTCAACTCATGAGCCTCTAATGAAGCTTAAAGTTCTTCTAACTTCACCTCAACTAGGCTCTTTGTCTCTTCAATAGACACTGCAATCTAATCAAAATCTACAGTCAGAGATCTCAACACTGTCTCAATCTTCTGCAAATCGTTGATTAATTCACCACATGCCTTCATCTAGTTCGTTAACAACACCACACGTAAAAATAATTTTGAGACTGAACCATCTTCCTTCATCTGAGTCATCTAAAATTTCTTTCTCAATGTCTGCAACTTCTCTCTCCTTAGCTTTTCATCTTCGCCATATAAGTTCTTCAACTTGTCGCATGCTCTTTTGGTTGCTTCCACTTCAATTATCTTCTCAAACACGTTAGGATTCACACATTAAAGAATAATAAATAGAGCTTATCCATCTTTCTTCCTTTGATCTCTGTGTGAAACTTTCTGAATATCATATGCATTCGCTTCTAATGTTAGTACTCCATCATTCACGATTTCGTACACTTCTTGAAATCTGAAGATGACGTTCATTTGCGCAACCCATATCTCGTAGTTCTGACCTTTGAAAACCTGTAGATTCGCTAGAAATTGCGTTGATATTATTCTTTTGTTTGCCATTATAGATTCTCTATGAATTGCAACCTGGACTCTGATACAAATTTGTTGGAACAATTAGGGTTTTCAAGAAAGATGAGAGAAGAAGAAGATAGAGAGAAGGAGAGAAAACTGTAAACTGAATTTGTGAAGTTGTTATTACTAAAGTTGTTAAGTGTATAAACTATACAAAGTCATGTCTATTTATAGGTGATCAAGGCTCAAGCCTAAAACATACATATATTTTGGCTTCGACACAACAACTATATATTGTATTTGACTCTGTTAAATACAACTGACTTCTACTACTTCGACTAAGTCGAACACACCTATGTCGAATACAGACTTTTCTTCAAAATAATGAATTGCAAATTCTAACAAGTTGAACGGTAAATTTCAATGTAAAAATCACGTTTAAACTCAAAAGTTATAAATTCTACCTTTAAATAAAATCAATTATGGAGACATAATTAATTCTACTTTAGAAGAATTAAAAACCTTAAAATTATTTCAAAATCAATTCTACACCTCTAAATTTACTTTTACATCTTCCAAAAGATAAATCATACCTACATTAAAATGATAAATTAAGTTGTTCTTGATGAGTCTTTAATCAACCCAAAATATATACTCCCCCCGGTCTCATTTATAAGAAAAAATTAACTTTTTATATACATTGAATAAGTAATGTATTTGGACAATATATTGTCCAAATACATTACTTATTTAATGTATCTAAAAAATTAATTTTTTCTTATAAATGAGACCGGAGGGAGTATATATATATATATATATATATATATATATATATATATATATATATATATATATATATATATATATATATATATATATATATATATAGCATAGAGTTCTCTCCAATACAAAGGATACAACTGTTAATATATCTACTTATTGCACAATTCATAATTATTATTAAATGATTAACAATAATGTAATTAATTAATTACTAGAAGACAAATTCTCCTGCCATATGAGTTATTCTTAGATGATGATGATCTCCTAAATCAAATGAAGCAGTAACACAGTTACTTCCTTGCCAAATAACTTCATTAGTCAAAACAAAAATCATGCAAGAAAATTAAAACATGGACCAATAAAAGTCATAATTAAAATTTAAGAAACAAGAAGCATTATATGAAACTTTCACACATGGAATCATTGTCCCTCCTAAATTGTCAGCTAGTAACACAACAACAAGTGTCAACTTGAGTTATGGGAGAAAAATCTTTGCCACCTACATGAAAGATTTTATACAAATAATTACTATTCTAATAAACTTGCTCTATACTATTCGATTATAATTAATGTATCCAGTAATTTTAGATGAGACAGAAAGAGATTTCTTTTAATTTAAATAAGAGATTTTAAATTTGAATGCTATTCTAAATACGTTTAGGTTTAGGTTTTAGGGTCTGAAGTTTAACGTTTAATCAGAAGTTCTGAATTCGATTTCAGCCGTGGTGTACACGGATTAATGTTATGTTGAATTTTATTTTTTATGATAGATGTAATGACATATATTGACATGTCATTTTCCGTTTCTTTCAGATCCCATGTGAGTCTCTCTTGAAGGACGAGACCCTCCAACCATAAGCCAGACAGTTCATTGTTCACACACTCTCTCACTTCAATTCTATAGTTATATTCTTGCTCATGGTTTTTTAGCACCACCACAAAGTGGTTTTCATTGAGAGCATTTTTCACTTTTCAATGGTGTTTTGAAAAAATATTGCTATTATCTTTGAAGGCAATAATGAGACAAATCCATAAGGAGGTGCCTAATCTCTAGTGGGGTTAAAGGCTAAAGCTAAAGTTTCAAGCTTATGATTTTCAAGTGTTGCTTTCAAGAGAGAAAAAAGGAGCTTTTTTTGGTTGGTCCCTGGTGTTTTTGAGAAGCTTTTACAATTTGCTCACAAGGTGTTTGTTGTTATGTGTAAGAGGTATTGGTTTACATTGAAATTGAATTTTAGTCAAAGGGAATATCCAGATTTGCATGTTTGAGTTCAAAATCTTTTTATAAAGGGTTTGGATTAAGTCAATTACCCAAGTAAGCTTTTTCATTCTCTTTGTTGAAATTTGGTTGTAATTTTTCATTTTTTTTATTTTGTTGTATTCCATTGCTCTATTTGATATGACTAGATTAGATGTTAATCATTTTGGCCAATGAAGATCATTGGAGGTTAAGAAAGTTGTGTTTTAACTCTCTTGATTCTTACCGAAAGGGCGGTTGACCTGGTAATCTGGAGTTCGGCCGAGAAGTATGTAACATCTGACCAAAGATTGTTTCGGTTAGATTCAAGTTTTGTTTTTTTTTCTTTGATTTGAGAACAAAGATGAAATCTTTGAGTAGTGTAGGACTTGGTCTTAGTATTGTTTTTGGTTGTCTTTTATTGGCTTTAGTAGCTGAAGTTTACTACTTGTTATGGTGGAAGAAAAAGATAATCCATAGAGAGATTGAAAATGACTATGGAAATGGAAACCCTTTGAAAGAGCTTTTCTATATGTTTTGTTGGAAAAGGCCATCGTCATCAAGTTCTATGAGACACACAGGTTTTACTCCACCAGAGCTTTGTTCTTCAATGAGAACAAATGGCAATTTTGTCCATGACCCTCAAGTACAAACCAGCAAAGAGTTTCTATTCAAGCCCTACGGCGAAGATTCCGTCGAAGCAGAATACATGATGCAACATCATCTTCACGACGACGGCATTTTAAGTCATCCGAGAATTTTGTTCACAATAGTTGAAGAATCGAAAGAGGATTTGGAATCTGAAGATAGTAAATCCAGATGCGAAAACAAAAATGGAAAGGATTCAAGAAGCTTAGGTGATTTGTTAGATGTGGAAACACCATATTTGACACCGATTTCATCTCCACATTTTTTCACTCCTACTTTCACTCCTAACATCAATATTAGTCCCTATAATCAACATGGATTCAACCCTCTTTTTGAATCAACAACCGATGCAGAGTTCAATAGATTAAAGTCATCCCCTCCTCCGAAATTCAAGTTCTTACAAGAAGCAGAAGAGAAGCTTAGAAGAAAAATGCAAGATGATAACAACAATAACAACAACAACAACAACAACAAGGGTTTTAACGGAAGCGAAGTTGACGATTCTCTCATTACAATAGTTGTTGACAAGAATTACGAAAGAGAGGTTAATCATCAAATTCATCCACAACAGTACCATTCAAGCACATCGCAGGTACTTCCCTTAGCCTCTTGACACATTCATCTCTCAACCGAAATTGATTCTCCTACAGCCGTTGCACAGTGCTGTAGTCGTAGAGACGGATAGATTTAGCGAGGAAAAATTCCAGCTAACACCGAAGTTCTGTCGATTGATTAAGAGTCTGTTTAATTTTTTTTCTTCCTTAGTTAATCTTCCTAATTACATTGTGAACAATTCCACTTTTTTTCAAGTTTGGAATTTGTTTTTGAATGCAGCTGTAGTTAAATCTGCCAAATGATGTACTCAAATGTTTCAAAAAAAATGGGACAATGAATGTTTATTAAAACTTCCAATGCTTACCAATATTTTTGCTAGTGAATCTGACATGACAGTGTCATAAATGATAAAAAAATTTAGTAATGAGAAAGATGGTCCTACTCTTGTATGCATATGTCTGAAGGACATTGAAGTGTATTTATTATTTCATTTTCTTCTTTTTACATGGCTGTGAATGAGACAATATTTTGAATCAACTTTGTCAAATGTCTTGTTCTGCATCAAAATTGAACAGTCTAGATTCACAATAATGTGAACATATTACCATGGAGACATAACTTGAATCAACAAGTTGGAATAACATTTTCCCATGTTATGTTTTTCTTTGGCTTCTTTGTGTGACCTGGATTTCCTGCTGACAGTAATTATCTCTCATTGTCAACATAATTTCAAACATCTAATTTTAATTTGACGGCTCATTCTGATTTGACAAAATGGGGTCTAAAATATGCATTAAAATTGCACATGTTGTGAAATCACTAGACCAAAAAAAAAATTGTACATATTGTGTAAAATAAATACAAAATTAAATGAAACCAATCAGATTCTTTTTATGCTGTCATGTTTTTAGCCTCTAAACTTAAGGTGTAAAACAATTTTTGCACTATGATCAAAATATGTGATGGAGATCAAATAAGTTTTTTTTGTTTGTTTGCTTTATTTCAAAGAATCTAAATGGTAAATTTATATACTAAGTGTGATTTGGTATTGATATGATATGGTTGACGCTAGATTCGCTTATTTAGATAACACGGTAAGTTCAGGCAAATGATGGATATTTGATGTTTGGTCGGATGTTTTGAGGAGATGGGATATCTGCAAATACTTCGGCGCTCAAATTAATGACTATTTGATACAAAAGAAAATATTTTAGGTTAAAATGTGCACATGTATTTGATGTTTACCTTCCCTTTTATAAGTCGATCCTAGGTTTTATGAGCGTAGATCCTTTTATAGTAAGATAGGTGTCTAATGAGTTGTGTTGTTGTTTCATTTGTTCTGCAATCTAACGATTTTTCTTCAATCACTCACCTGATTAGGTGTTTTCTTAGGACAAAACTTAGTTTGTTCTCGAGACCTCATGATCCTCTTCTCTCTTCTTTGGGACACTTTATTCTTCGTGTATGTTGTTCTCTTGGTCTCAATATAACGTCCCATGAGGTTGTGGATTAAATCGAGTCTTCTTTCTTACTTTCGGCCCATATTCTTATTGGGTCATTGTAAACATATTCGTCAGCCTAAGCAAGAATAATAGTCCCACATGTTTGGTTTGACGAAGTCAGGTTGTGGTTTATGATCTCTATCACTTCCCATGACATACTCTTAGGTCTATTTTAGTTAACGTTTCATCCATCATTGACTTGTCTCATTGTTCTTGATCTTTGGTATTCTTTTTTCCTTTTGTAAAGAAATAATAAGGTTACTTGAGATCTTTCGTTTTTGTTGTCTTCCACACATCAATTATAGTGCATAAAATGATGGCATATCGATTGGTATAATATGATTATCTCCTAGGGACCGTAACTGACGAGATCATAAGTTCACTAAGCATGTGGAAGAAAAAATACAAAAAAAAAAAAAAACTCCAAATAAAATTAATATTTTATTTTATTTATGATTTTATTTTAAAATAACTAAGCATTTTCGTATTTGTTGGTCTACCTGCCGTATTTTGACCATATCTGAAGTTCTAGGAGTCTGATTGACATGATTTTTAATGTGTCGAAAAACTAAGAAAATTATCTACAATTCATATGTTGGAGTTAAGACGAAATTAGACTTATTTATGGCTCAAAAATCTTCAACAATAAGAAGGAGAAGATGAAGGAAAGACAATGAATATCCACTTTCTCCACAACCTTTAAGTGTGTGACCTTTTATTCCTAAGTCATTATTGATAGGTTAGTGGACTGAAATTGTATAATTTCTTAAGTTATTATTGTAAAGTACCATTTACCTATAAATAGGGAGAAAATCATGAATGAAAATTGAAGTTGAATTTTGTTAAACAAACACTTTGTGTGATTTTAAGAGCATTGCTCCTTTGGTTCTAGATTGGATCATATTTTGATCTTATCAAGAAACCAAGTTTCTTGTGGCAATCCTCACTTAGGCTTATCATCCTTTCTAACTCATAGAAAGAGTGTGGCGCTCCATTTCTATCCTTTTTCATCTATTTCTTTCTCAATCTTACTTTGTTTCAATTCGGTCTCAACTCCAATATTGTTCATAATTTTGTGTTCCTACCCCCATATTATCACATTAAAACCACAAGTTTCATAACAATAGTAAAGTATGACAAAAATGACTGAATCACAAATCGTTTAGTCATCAAGTGGTATCAAGAGCACGGTTCGTATATGACTATTTCATGCTGCTAATTTTAAGTTTATTTCTTCTTAGTTTGTATTAAGTCATATATAAAAATAGAAGGAAAAAAATTCCTAAAAAAGGGGAAAAAATCCAAAAGTATCAATTCTTACTGATATTATTAGTTCTATTTGTCAATCTTCAAATTTTTTTGGTGATTTATCATGGAAGCCAAACAAAAAAAATCTTTTATTTACGAGATGTATTGTGAATGATATGATTTCTGGCTTGGTCATTGATAGAAAATATTGAATCAACATGGCAAGTACAACTATGGTGGAAAAATTAAGACTCCGAGTTCTTGAGCATCCAGACCCATACATACGTTATAGCCTCGAAGATCTATAATTTAATAACATGAGTGACGTTTTGGTGACCAAACAAGTTAGAGTGAAATTCATGCTTGAAGAATATGAAGATGAGGTGTTATGTGATGTGGTGACTTCAAAAACAAGGGAATTATTACTAGATCTTCCATGGCATAAACAATATCGATCAAAGTATGGTCGTATCACCAACACATACTTATTTTTAGTTAAAAATTGTCAAATAGCTTTTGTTTTAAAAGAAAATAATCAAGACCAGATCTTGAAAAGAGAGAGTGAGAAAAAAAAATAAATGTTGAAAGTTTTATAAATGAAGAAAAGAAAGAAAGAATCATTGAAACAATAGAGATCAATAGTGAAGAAGTTGAAAGAAAAGAAAAAGAGAGAAAATACATTTACGAGGACGTGAAGAAGAAGGAAACTTCTAAGAGAAAAGAAGAGGAGCGGAAAAAGTAAATGGAGAGATTTGAAAAGAAATATATAGCTGAGATAAAAGAAGAAAATAACATTGAGAAACAATATCTCTTTTAGAAAACGGAAGAGAAAATAAATAATTTTCAAAAAGAAAGAAAAGAGAAAAATGAGACAATTTTTTTCAATCAACTAACTATTGATGCAGGTTTAGATTTGAAGACAAATCCTCTTAAATTTTGGGAGAATGATGAGATCATAAGTTCACTAAGCATGTGCAAGAAAACATACAAAAAAATGTTCCAAATAAAATGAATATTTTATTTTATTTATGATTTTATTTTATAATAACTAAGCATTTTTCGTATTTTTTGGTTTACCTGCCGTGTTTTGACCATATCTGAAGTTCTAGGAGTCGATTGACATGATCTTTAATGCGTCAAAAAACTAAGAAAAATATCTACAATTCATATGTTGGGGTCGAGACGAAATTAGGCTTATTTATGACTTGAAAATCTTCAACAATAAGAATGAGAAGATGAAGGAAAGACAATGAATATTCACTTTCTCCACTACCTTTAATTGTGTAATATTTCACTCATTTTCTCCACTATCTTTAAGTGTGTGACATTTCTTTCCAAAACCATTAATGATAAGTTAGTGGGCTGAAGTTGTAGAATTTCTTAAGTTATTATTGTGAGCTACCCTTTACCTATAAATAGGGAGCAAATCATGAATGAAAAAATAAGTTGAATTTTGTTAAACAAATATTTTGTGTGATTTGAGAGCATTGCTCATTTGGTTATGGATTGAATTATATTTTGATCTTATCAAGAAACCAAATTTCTTGTGGCGGCCCTCACTTAGGCTTATCATCCTTTCTAACTCATAGGAAGAGTGTGACATCTCATTTCTATTATTTTCCATCAATTTCTTTTTATATTGTCTTTTACTTCAATTATATCCCAATTCATATTACTCTTTTAAGTTTATGTGCTACTCTATAATGTAATAATAGAATCACAAGTATAAAAGTAACAAAGAATGACAAAATGACCGAATAACAAATTAGTTAGTCATCGGTAACTATCATTATTATTTTGATGATGCCATCTCTGACGATGTGGCACTTGATATCTGGTCAATATGTGGCCCTTAGGATTCACAATTTTCGGGTCATTGGATCTTTGTCTCTTTGTGTTCTATCTTTGAGTAAAATACACTTATATATATTGGAATGAGTTATATTTCCTACTTTTCCTTTTTCGATTTCCTTTGTGCAATTTTTATTTGTATCTAAATTGTTCTTTTCTTCCTTCTTTGAAGTCCTTTTGTTCTTTATTCTTAGAATTCCTTCAGATTCCCTATTGCCAAGTTTTGTTATCATTTATATTTTCTCTATTTTATTTCTTGTAAGGGGTGATAGTGATTAGTTGATGAAGTGGTAATTCCTTTCCCCAACTTCTCTACCTACCATTTTCTTCGTCGATGATAATTTAGGGAAGTTGATGTTGTTCTGGTGTGATTACTCGTGCACTAGTGTTTATGTTGTCATTCCTTTCCTGAGAAAAGTTGTGGTGAACATGTGAGACTACCTTCCCATAAATCATA